GCAGGAAATGGGACTAGCAACAGAGCGAGGTTTTATGGGAAGTTTAAACATGGCGGCAGCCATTTTGCTTTACAACACGACCTAGTGCCAGTTCTCTTTGCGCTCATAAGACGGACAACTTTTCGGCATATGGCCTTCTCGAATTCAAATTCGACGAACAAATGCCAGACGATTTGTCCGTCCAGACGATTTGTTCGTCCTCTAGTGTGAAAACGGCCATTGCTTTATATCGTGATACGAGTTGAAACAACTGGAATATTACACCCGTTAGTTTTATGCGTTTTGTTTGTTTATTTGTTTGTTTATTTTTTTAATGCTACCGGAAAGTCTATGGGTTTTAAATCTAAGTTCGTAATAAAGTATGGATATACAAGCGTTATCGTTGGTAAATGGTTTTTGTTCATGATTACCTGGCTAATTTGATCATGAGCACAGATGTAGTTGTCGGCTGTCGGCAGCTCAGCGGTCCACTTCATAAAAAATTCCAGGGAAAGTTTATGGGACTGGTTGCCGAAATTTCCCTTTAAATTTCAGTGTTTCCCAGTATAGCGTCTCTTGAACACCAAGTCCTAAAAATCATGTGAATAGAGGGTTGTATTTAACAGGGGAAAGGTATCAGTTTAATGTTGCTTTTTGAGAGGTTAGCACTACTCTCATGCATTGTTTTGTTTTTGTAACGTATCCTGCAGTCTAAGGTTTAAAAGTACCACTTTGATTGCAGGGTCCTCATTTGATTGGACAGTGCGTTTTCTGGGAGATCGGCCAGTCACAGAGGACGTGGCTGACCCGTGGGTGTGTGCGCGTTGATCGTGAGTCAAACTCGCGTGTTACCACTTGCGAGTGTAATCACTTAACCATCTTTGCAGTCTTAATGAACAACAAGCCAGTGAGTATTAAGTACTCTTGAAGTCTCTTCAGTCCGACATTTTCTTGAAATAGATTGGGATCATTGTCCCTATTTTTGTCCCTAGAATCGCAAACAAATCACTTAAATCCTCTTGGTTTACTATTTGTTCTTTTTTCTATAATTTTGTCTTTTTTTTTTTCCTATTCGTAATTCCTAAAGATGATTCCCGCTCAGTTTTTTTTTCTGGTATTCATTTCAGGTAATAAAAAGTCATCAACCGTACTTCAAACATATTTCTACTGTAGGCTGCGCATGTTCACTATTCTTTCTGTTGCTTACTTGTGTGATAATCTTGACCTGTTGGAAAAAGTTGAGAGGTTTTCGGGTAACAATGTTACTGCACTTGGTTGCTGCCATTTCTGTATCTTGTCTTTTGATTATTCTGGCTGGAGAAGCAGGAAGACCTAAGGTAAATATCAAATGTCTGTTTTTTTTGTTTTTTTTTTCTTTTCTAACTGTTTTTATGTTGCTGTACTTCTGTTCAGCAATAGATCCGGAATGAGATAAAAATGAGGTAAGAAAAAAAAGTAACACAAGAGGCGCACCCGTTTGTCACCGACGTGTATACCACAATTTAAGTTTTCAAGGATCTTATACTGAACTTGTGTGACGATCTTAATCTGTTGGAAATGTTGAGAAGTTTTAGGGTAACAAAGTCACTGCACTTGTTTGCTGCCATTCCCGGCATTTGTTCCATATATTAAATAAAAACAATAAGTTAACTCTGACGTCATCTGTGCGTCTGTCTTCCGACAGATCGTTATAAGACCTGATCAGCATTGTCTAATTCTACTTATCATATAATATTTTTATGTACTCAGTCATAAATTTATTTCATCTCCACAGGAGTCAGTCTGCACCACAACTGCAGTGTTACTCCATTATTTCCTACTCTCTGTGTTTTTCTGGATGTTGTGTCATGGTGTTATCTTGTACTTCCTAATATTAAAGGCCGAACGGCAAGAAATTCTGACATCGAAAAAGAAATGGTTTTACGCTCTAGGATGGGGTAAGAGCAACACTCCTTAAACGAGTGCATTTTTATCAACACATGCATTGGACGTATAAGACGCCAGTGTTCAAGTTAAGCACGACAATAAACTGTCTCTTTAAAACGATCCTAGGATTTGGCAGTAACTTTTATTAAATGGTTGATTCGTTTCTGATTGTTCCAGGTGCTCCAATTCCTATAGTGGCCATCTCTCTGGCAGTAAGTGGAACCAAGTCTTATGCAGCGAACAACTGTTGGCTTACAGCAGAACGTTGGCTCATTTATTGGGCGTTTGTTGCTCCAGTTGCCGTGATCTTAGTTGTAAGTATACTCTTTTGCTTATGATGCTCCTTTTATGGCGCAAAGATATTCCTTTTATGCAGACACCGTATAATATGAGGTTTGTACTGTGAGTTTCGTGGAGAGGATGATTCTCGTGAGCAAATATCTGATCATACTTTCTGGCTTATTGGAACTTATTTTCTGTCTATGATGTCATCATGGTTAAGAAGCGTAATCGGAGATGACGAAATTTTAGGAATAAAACGAACGGTTAACTACACCCGTAGCTGGGCAAAATACTCGTAAGGAGAGACACGAAGCAGTGTTTCTATTTTTTTCTATCTTTTCTTCTTTTCTCAATCCTCTTGTGTATTTTCCCGTCCAGAGCAACTCAGTTCTGTTAATGTTTTTACTGCGTCGGATAATGACAGCCACAAAGGCCAAAAACAACAGGACACCTGCCAAGCACGTGAAGGATTGGTTGAGACGCTTTGCAATGTTGCTGCCAATTCTGGGTGTTACGTGGTGTTTTGGCTTCCTCACGTTCATTACATCTACGGTTGTGTTTCATTATATTTTCACCATCCTCAATGCATTCCAAGGAGTTTTCATATTTGTGAGCTTCTGCATTTTAGACGATTCGGTAAGTACCTCTTTCTTATAATAAGTTTTAAAAGGCCATAAATTGCTCCCCCGATAATCATCCTTGTGTAGCCACAATATTTTACATAATATAGAATTTTAGTGAAATCACACGAAAATCTAACGAAGTAACTCAGAGTACTAAAAAGCCAACGGTTTGAAAATCAGAAGAAAGACAATTGGGAAAAACGTGGTTGGATATAGTTTTGCCTTAGCGAAGTTTTACAAACAGGTCTCAGAACCAAGTAAAGCAAATGAATTTTCGAAGTACTCTTCGTAATCGTATTGATATTCAGCTCTATATATGAATTCTAGTTAGCCTTTGAGAAGGCTAATACTAAATCACTACTCGTTGTTTCAAAGTGAAAAAGAAAACGCGCCGTGTAATACTGAAATGCCCCAACAATTGAGCTTCTGTTCTTCAGAAATCGCTGGCCATCTCAGTTTTATCCCGCAAGCAGTCTTTTCTTTTTCTCCAACCGGTAGGCTAATCTCTAATCTCGAGTTACTTATTACAGACCTAAATGCAGGACATTTTATGATCGGAAAAATGGTTTGAAGTGACGCAATTCCTTTAAAATTTTCATTAGGTTAAAGAATACATAATGATTATTGTGTGTAAGAAGAAAATCACGAAGAAAGACATAGCTACAACAGATCATTAGACTAGAAGAAGGAAAAACTGATGTTCAAGAATAAATAAAGGTAAGAACTGATTGAATAGAATTGAATGAAATTTTTGAGCTGATTGCTAGACCAGCTGTGTTTCAACCAACTATGCAGCTTACCTGTGGTACCGGAATGACTAATGCAACGGCGAATGAATGGACGGGTTTGCCAGCGGGACGAATACAAAACAATATACGCTTTTAAAGATGCAGTCATTATGGAACTTTTCTTTACAATTTTTATCTTGAAGTAAAAGCATCATAAATAATTCACCGAGAACTGTCGGTTGCTACGTCTAATAATAAGTTGAGCCCCAAGAGTGATCACCGAGAATTTTTATGACGGGGTGTAAAGTTCTGTTCTTATTTCAGAACGATAAATGCAATCTTTAAAAAATCCGTTTTCAGACCAGATTTTTACAGTGACCTCAACAGTTAACAAGACGACACATCATCGAAAAAGCTCTCTTATGCTCTTAATTCTGATTTCTGTCGCAGGTTTACATGTGATAAAAAGAGACACATGGGACATTTCAGCTGGAGTAGCTTACACATGTAGTACCGCTACACAGTCTACCGTCAGATGTAATTTTTTCCATTTTGATGGTTCTACTTTTGCTTTGTTTTGTTTATTTTGTATATTTGTGTCAGCGTAAGCATTAATAAATTGTAACATTTCCTGACACCGACTAAGCTACATCCTAGGCCAACTGAGTTTTGAACACTGTGTTCAATTTTATGGTAATTGTCTAAAAAAAGGTTACTTTTTCTGCTAATTAATGTAGCGGTAGGCGATAATTTAATCGATTTCTAAACGGAGTAACGGCAACAAGGTAATCGGAGTGCATTGGCTTTCATAGCACTTTCCAGAGGCAAGAGACCAAAAAAGGTGTAAAGCAAATCAAGGGACATATCTCTCGTGGACAAGGAAAATTATAGCATAATTATATTATATTATAGCATAATTTTTACAAAAACATAAATGAAATACATACGAACAAAGATTGCCATTTTTTTGCTTTAACAATTCCATTTAGGAAGGCGTTCGTTACTAGTTTATAATACTTAATGTTAAGTAAAGCGCTTTTGAATATGTGCATTGTTATAGCGCTATAGAAACGTTTAATTATTATTACTATTATTAATTTAATAATAGGATAATTTTAATGAAACAAACAATGAAGAACAAGAAAAAGTAGGAGAAGACGAAGAATACTAATGAAAACAACACAATCTTATTGCCTGCTGGTTAATGCTGACACGGAAATAAAATCTTAAATTATTTCACAATGATACTGAAAATCTTAGTCCTTTGTGTTTAAAAAGTCAAAAACAAGTTCATTTTCGTGAGAGCACTGTTACAAGGGTTGTTACGAGTGTTGAACCAAACTTTCAAAAGACTCAATCATTGCACATCACCGACAGCAGCGTACAGTCTTAATTCGATACTACTGCTGTAATGAGATTGGATAATACATGTTGTGGCAAACTTTTGATTTCTTAATCTTCTTTAATAATTTCTTATGCTTCTAGCACCAATGAATATATGCGTATCCTTTTGATTTTTTCTCTTCAGTATCCATTTATGCACCGTTATTTTCTATGTAATTACGACCCCTTATCTATTTCGTGTTTCACACCCTTATGCTAGAAAATTTTTTTTATCATTATTATTGGTTCTGTTAGCACCTCTTTCGTGCCAGTTTTTCGTGTTTCCCATTTTTCGCCTCAGCATTCGGTCAAATTCTTTTGTCTAGTCGTATCTTCGTATTTATTTCATCGTCTTATTTCGGTAGTATATTTCGTAAAGGTCGTTTTGGGCGCTTTTCTGAATTAACTTCTTTACACATTAAATGGAATAATAGATCATCTGCTGAGTCAGAGAATTTTAGTTGAGGCGGGCCCCTGCCTCTTCAATAAGTTCGGAAGGTGTCCGAGTACATTCGCGCATGTTTGTATATTTCAGCAAAACTGCTATGCTCCTCTTCTACTGTTAGTTTAACAAAAAGTAATATTTAGTTCTTATTAACCAGCGGGAGGTCTGTATGGGAGTTCTTGACTGAGGTCGCCAGTACAGAACGCAGTAAGGTCTGTACCAGCGACCGCGGTCAAGATTCTCCCATACAGACCGACCTAGCTCGGTTAATAAGATGTTTATTATATGGCTGTGTCTTATATGCCAATTTTTTATATTCTTTGTATCTTTTTTTTCTAGACCGGTCTAGATGCCGGTCTAGATGGGAAAATTTAGACCACTTTCAATATTGATTTCAGCCAATCAAATTCGTGAATTCGGTAGTTCCCAGTCCTTTTGAGACACAGCCATATAATAAAAGGAGGTAATCATCGCTTCATTCTTTCGCATCCTCGTCACTCTCATCTGCAGAAGGAAGTTTCCATTCCAGTGTTCTCTCATAGCCTCTCAACATGGTCGGGCGTCGGCAGTTCAGTGCCCATTTAAATGGGAACACCGTGTTCTCGTGCCTGACAAAGTCACAGAGATGAAGTCCAAGTGAGTTAACCATAGATTTCAAGGAGGATATTTTCTTTTTCCTTTTGAATGATGCCAATTCTTCGTCTGTGCTCGAGAAAAGGAGAGACGCACGTAGAAACATTACGAATTGTTGAGTTAGGTTTAAATACTCTACAACAGATGTCATCCCAGATAAGTTAGCCAGCTCTGGATTTCGTGTGTCTTTCGAAGCTTTCTGGATGAGGTCATCCAGACCTGTCATATGAGGCAACAAATGAATGACTTCCGGCATTAAATTTCGGACCCAGTTGATTGCCTCGGTGAACATGACCGCGTGAGGATTGGTAGTATTAAGCAAGCCCTTGAATTTCAGCAATATAACAGTAAGGGGATAGTAGTCCCATAAGTTAGAAGTACTGATGCGATCATACCTCAGATCCGCAGGCAAGAAAGCTTCGACCTTAAGAAAGTCAGATAGGATAAAATAACATTTAATGCTGTTTCGTCCGAGTTTTTCCATCGATTTGTGAAGAACATGCGATATATAAACGCTGTACATTCGCGTCATAGATTCGTCACGGCAGACTTTCTTGACTGCTTTGTAATCCCACCCGGTAAATGGAAGTACATCGGTCGGTATGCTGTAATGAAAGTCAGAGCTCCTCAAAAACTGGTGAAATCCACGGCCTGTGAGAGTGGGATTCTCTCGTCTAAGCTCTTTAGTAGCTTTCATCGAAGTAAAAATACCGGTTTCAAAATATCGTTGGGTGGAAATCTTGTGCTCTTTCGGAATGGCGTGCATATAATTATCTATGCCTCCTTCTCTATCTAAATCACGTGAGTTAGCTTCCCGTCGAAGTTTTGTCACCCACGATCCTTTGCGCTTTGCTAGGCGCAGCCATGTGTTCCACACATCTTTTAACTGAATCAGTTGGTCAGCGGGAATGTCCATAACGTCATCAGTGAGTGTGCGCAGGTCAGGGGAGTCCACAAGCTCTTGTAATGCTAACAACAGCGAAGTAAAATCTTGTTCTCTGATACGCAGTGAGTACCAAATATGAATCACTGTCGTAGACATATCATTCCCTCCTGCAATCAAAGAAGAGCTTTTAACCTGAGGCTTTTAAAGGCAAATGGTAATCTACTTATTGTGGCTACCCTCCTGTTTGTCACTGTAAGCTTGAGTGGATGTTGTGCAATCAAATCAAAAGTGAACAATCGAGTTCAATTCAACGCGGGAAAATTAATCAAGATACGTAATTACGTTCGACATACCATTGAAAACTTTACCACTTGCACGATAATTTTATCGTACTTGCCAAGGTTACCTTTTAACCTTGCAAATAAACAGTGAAGCGCCCGGAAAAAATGCGTTTTATTGCGTTTATGACATAAACCTCGGACAAAACCTGTTGAGACACAATACAAAATATCTATTCTTTACACTCACCCTGACAAAAATGCTTACCGTCGCAAATTTAAAGATTGTTTCCCCCCCTCTCCAGTTACAATGTTGTTTGTGGTAACACAAGAAATGCATGCTTGAGCTGTTAAGCCCCAACAATATTGTACCAGGGGTGGGGAAAGGGGCAAGTTTGTTCCTTTTGGAAACGATTGTTGCATGGCGGGAAATTAAAAATTGCATTGAAATGTCTCAACAGTTTTGTCCGGGGTTGTAGCTACATGCGGGCTCTATAACCTGCTAAAACATCCATTTGGAAACTGAATTGACCAATCAAACGTTGCACACTATGTTCATTATGTTCTAAAGAAAGTTAATGTTTTGCACTCCTTTTGAGAGAAGAGTGAAAAAGCGTAAATGCCTGAGACATTCCAAAGAGTGATTATATGCTTTAAAGGCCAAATTTAAGTAGTATTAGCATAACTTTGCTTAAAGATTTCCTTTACCAGATACTGGATGTGCTCGCTTAATTCAATTTGTTCGTCATTTATTCCAACCATTAAAGAACATATAACAAGCGTAATAAAGGCAAAAGGAGCGAAAATTGGAAAATAACAATTTGAATAGGAAAAAGGAATAGAAGAGCTTGTAATGTTGCAATCAGTCAAAATAACTTCGGTCTCAAGGGTTAAAACAACGGAAAATAATTACTAACGATTCCCGTCCATTTTATGTGATTGGTTTTAACAATGCATGACAAAAAAAAATTTAAGGAGGGTTGTATCCTGAAAACTTATAAACGTGATTATTAGACAATGTTTATCTACAGCAGAGAGAGAGTCGTACCTTTATAGAGCATGTAAAGGAGCAGGACTGTTCTTGCCAAAGTGCAGGGACATATGTCGTTCATCACAAAAGTGACTTGCTCTTGGTAAACATTCGGCAA